CTCCTGAAGTTAATTACTGTGCAGAGGAAGTAGAGTGATAAATAAATAAATGAACCAATAAATGCTCTGCTAATATGCTTAGATAGATTATTTAATTTCACAACTCACTTCACACCCTAAAGCTCCCATTGTTATATTACAGAATCCCCAGGTCATGATTCCTATAACTATATTTCCATCATGATAAAGTTGTTACAAATTCTACTCATATCTCCTACTCATATATGCCCACTCGGTCATTTATATATTATTTAGCATGAAAAGTTTCCAATGCAATAATCTTGGCACATATAGTAACCTATTGTAAAACATATAATATTTAAGGTAAAAAAATGTTGAGCTTTTTTGTTTTGTTAATTTCCAAAGTATACTTATTGAATTTACCATATATTTCCATGTAAAAGACTATGTTTTTTTCTAAAAAATTTTAGTGTAAAATTGGGGTTGTCTTATACATGACATGTCCTTGCAGGGTTTAAAAAAAAACAAATACTTGGGCGCGAGCCTAAATTAAGATGGTGCCTGCTGCATTTCAATGTGCCACTGCCCACACACCATAAAATGAGCAGCCACATTGTTTGCTCCACCTCAGGTAGGTCTTGCTTTCTGATGTATATTTATGGGGGAGGAAATGGGAATCAGGGAGCAAATGGGATACTACTGTGATGTCCCAGCATGCCCTCACACCACCTGCTGTATTGTGGGAGCTGTAGTCTCCCAGCATAGAGCCATTAACTTCATATGGCACTGTAGCACACCTGCTGTATTGTGGGAGCTGTAGTCTCCCAGCATAGAGCCATTAACTTCATATGGCACTGTAGCACACCTGCTGTATTGTGGGAGCTGTAGTCACTTAGCATAGAGCCATTAACTTCAAAGAGTACAGTAGCAGAGGGGAGACATGAGAATCAGAAGTGTTTTGTTCTCCTCAGAAGTCACCTCTAAAATATTTGAAGTTGTTCTATTTAATGTTTAAAATATTGATTTCTTAATTTTGGGCTCAAGAAATAGGGGTCATCTTATACATGGCGCCTTCTTTTACATGGGAAAATACGGTACTTCTTCCATAAAATTACACTAAAATGATATTAACTCATATGTTTCACACCTATACAAATTATGCAAACAAAGAAAAAAAAATCAATCTCTGCCAATCTCGACTCAACATGGTCTATTGATTTTATCTATAGATCTCTTTTTAAGATGTGATCTTTTGTGATCATTTTGTGATCTTTTTATTCTATTTTAAAGGGTGAATCCAGGAAGCCACTTATAAGATGCAATATGTGTAGGTTAGGTTACAGTTAGTTATGCTGATTGATTTTATATTAATCTTCTTAAATAATAATTTGTTTTGCTCTATAACTCCTGAAGATTGATAATAAAAGTCTAGCAATCCCTTCATTAAGTTACTACAGAAACCCGTCATAAATGTTACTTTACCCTGGTTACTAATCATTTGTTTTTAAGTCCTTCTCTGAATTCTTCTTATATTGACCATTGATTTACTACTGTGTGTTTGTGTTTATAGTTCCATTCACTAGAGTATAATTTTATAGCAAATTAGCTTTCTCTGCATCACCTATTATGAATTAGATTTTTTTTTTTTCCTTTTCTGGTTACCTACCTCTGCGATCATAATTGAATTTATTCTTCAAAACTGTCTTATAGCCTTTTTGTAAGATTGTTACATTTTCTTGTAATGTTCAAAGGGAACTGCTGTTAATCTTTTGTTGCACAATCTATAAGGTTGCTTATTCCTTAGCCTTTATCCTATTTTAAAATTATAGAATCCCGCTTGCTCTGATGTATTTCTTTTCACTACCCATTCACCAAGCTTTGAACATATTTCTCCAACAACTCTTTAAATGTCCATTTTTCATCTTTATTATTTTCATTTATCATTGTCTATTGACTTGTGCCTATAAATACAACAAATAAAACACATTTCAGTTCACTAAAGAAACAAATAATATGACAACTGAAAACAGACACCTGAAAAGACTTGAATGATAAATACAAAATACAATATTTTTTTATATAATTCATCATTCTCACATGAATTAAATATTATTCTGCTAGAGGTTTTCCCTAATGCACGTTGAGTATATTTCCAGCACCTATATGATTATATCAGTGTATAAGGGTTAATATGTCATCTCCTCCTTTATTTAACTGCTCCATTTAACCAAGCAAGGAAGACAAACTGTAATTATATGCAAACAGTTTTTTTTCTTGATCATGCCCTAACAAAATAACAAAAAAGTATTTAGAAAGTTTTTAGATTTTTTTATGTTTATTATAGCATTTGATGCCTACAGCCTAAAATGGATTAATTCTCAATGATGTCAATTCTTATAAAATCATTCTCCTCTCTAACCATTCCACAATTTGACCCACTGATAATCTAGTATTCATCTCTGCCTCAATGATCTGTATTCTTCCTTTGTCATGCCAATCTACACATTTAATTTGACCATATAGAGGGGTTCTTGGTATCCTAATGTTATGTTGTATGTGTCAAGGTATTGGAAACGTCAGCAAACAGGGATTAAATCTAACTTTTTTAACAGATATGGGAAAATAAGAAAGACATATATTAATGATCCTTAGAGTAGCTGGGCTTAACATGGTGGCTATAGAAAGCTGAAATGGTATTGTGTAAGAATGTAGAGTAGCCAGGAAAAAGATAAGATTAAGGCGTATTGTCAGGAATACAGAGAGACCCAACGTGCAGAGTGTAATGGAATAGTAAAGATAATGTTTACCGGACCTTAGAGTGCCCAGGCTAACATATACAAGGACAGAGAATAGTTAGGGACAAGCCGTAGTCAGGGAAGCCAGAAATTAGGAATAGTGATATCAAAATAGCTGAGTCAAAGGAGAAAATAGGGTAGAATAGTCAAACAAAGGCAAAGTTAGAACCAGAATATTACACAAAATTAGCATGCTATTGGTAACAAAACTGGAACTACAACAGGGCAATGACCTATACCTTAGGAGCCTTTTTATATTGTGGCTCTTTAATTTTGTAGCCACTCCACCAAAATGTTTGACTTTAAATGTTTTGGCGGGCCATGACATCATTAGCGTCCTTAAAAAGGGGTGGAGCTACATCAATCGGAGTCAGAACTGCTGAGGAGAGATGATGGACCATGAGGACGGTCTCACTCCATGTGGAGGATGTCCCCTGGCTGTATCCGAGCCTGGGAAACACAGGTACCCTGAAAGATATAGATGAGTAAAAATATCAAGAAACCAAGCCAAGTCTGGAGTATCAGTAGAAAAGCTAATTCAGTAAACTAAGGTAGACAGAGAACATGATATGCTATAGGGATTATAGAAAAATCTAACAGGATAATGGACTTAGATGTCTGAGCAGTGTATACAGATAGCATGGTCTGCATACTGGATTGAATCATTATTGCCCAACGATGCACATTCTGCTTGGAATAAATACTCATGCTGGGGCAGCATCCTGTGTCAGAATTGTTGCCAGAATGACATACAGTATAGCAACATACTGCAATAAAATTTTTAGCCATTAATAAAGCATAAAATAAGAGGCGAAGTGCATCTGGATACATTGCCTTTTAATGTACATCGTTTAAATCTTTCAACTTTTCTCACGTTACTTGTATTAATTTTCTGCTATACTGGATTTAAGAGCTCTTCATAATACTGGACATCAGCTGCAGGACTCCCTTGATAGATTTGTATTTCACAACAGCAAGTGAGAAAGGACACAACTCACCTGGACTAGTTTTAAAACTAGTGTGATGCTGGTAACTCTTTTTTTTTAAAATGTTTTAATAAATTATATTTTATCATTATTAGTGGTTGATTAATCTATGAGCGATTTTATATCTCCCCTCCTGTGTTTTGCAAGTGTTGACTGAGTATATATTATCCTAATATTATTATATTATCCTTTGTTTCTAATGTGCATGTTTTCACACTAGATAACATGGTCCTTAGTATACTGTATTAATGTATTAGTTTGTCACGTGTACTCCTCCCTCTCATATTTTCTAATAATCTCAATGCCTTAGTCCTGTGCTTCTGTCCAAAGAAAGTAAAATGCAGGCACATCATGGTGTCAGTGTCAAGGTGTATATAGTATTGCATATATGTAAAAACAAAACCCCGTGTAATAGTTGAACATTGACCAATGAAGACTCCTATTTTCTGTTAACTTCAAATTAGTATATTAATTTATGCAACAGCAGAACAATAATGTTTGGGAAATATTACTCCATCATGCAAGCTTAGATTCAATAGATTCAATAGGAATGAGTTACTTGTAGGGTTAGTGTTTGGTCTAAGGTTAGGTTTCATGTTAGAATAAAAGAAAATGTTGGTGTTTTGATCACTATCAGTGCATCTGCATTACATTAAGGTATCCAAGTGACACTGCTAAGAGGATGATTAATTATCACTTTTAGTAGATGGGATAGGTAGATGGGGTGGTATCCAGTGTGAAATAGTTTCTGTATTAGCAACTAGAGCACAGCATCATAGCTCAATACATGCATGATGGCCCCCATCCTTCTGTCGGAAGCATCCTGATTATCTGTCATTTTTTAACCCCTTAAGGACACATGACGGAAATATTCCGTCATGATATCCTTTTATTTCAGAAGTTGTGTCCTTAAGGGGTTAAACAAAAATCAGGCGTTGCCAGCGGCCCAATGGGAATGGTTGCATGACTTGAGTGCTCTGACCCGCGAGGCTATCAGCGACGATAATAGCGACCTAAACCAAGCGATCTGCGGCACACAGCACAGCTACAGGGAGCTAAGACCCTCTACCACAGAATTGCAACCAAAGCCAAGAAAAGAAACAACAAATCAGTCAGATGCCAGAGAGGGAACAAGATGGTGGTGTAGCAGCACCAGATCTGTGCAATATGGTTGCTGGGAGTGTTTCACAACTCGAGGGAGAAGGCCCAATCACCTAATCTCGCATGAGGTCTGCTAGCCAGGCTAAGTCACAACCTCATGCAGTATTTCAGAGAGGTGGTGGCAGGCCTCAGAAAAGATGTTACAGATCTGGGTGAGAAAGTATCCCATACTGAGAATACAATTGAGGAACAAGCAGAGGTACATAATAACATGACTGATGCCTTTAAGGAAATGGAGCAAAAACTACAGGCCTGTACCGAGAAGATTAACAACCTGGAAGATAGGTCCAGGGTAACAATGTATGCATACGAGGAACTGCTGAGAGCGTGGATCACAAAGGATTAAAAAAACTACTTCTTGGCCTTCTTTGCTAATCTCCTTCTTGAGACAGCACCGTAACTTCTGGTTAACATCCGTTGCCAGCTGAATACAACACCCTACAACGTTACACGGATCTTTCTCCTATTATGCTGCAACAAAAAAGAGATGTCCCCCATCACAACAGCTCTGAGATCACATAACATTCAATACCGCTGGGGCTTCCCTACCAAGGTCGTAGTACTGCGCAATGGAACCATGCATACCATTAAATCAGTGGAAGACAGATGACGAATTTTAGGCAAATTGAATATATATAGTTTAAGCTCATCAACCCTTGCTGGTGGGAAAGCATCAAAGACTACCGATGGAGTGGCACAAAGTTCTGTGAACTGTGATTGAAAACTTCCAACAATTAGATGATAAATACCAACTACCTAGAGTGCTCTGTTATGTCCACATCCAAATACAGCATCTCCTAGCATCCAACGTGCGGAGCACAGGCCAGGGGTCGGCAGGGAGACCACTGTCTAACTTTGAAAAGTTGTGTTTGGGAGCTCTTCCTGGTAGGAAAAAACTATCAATATGTTACAAGCTTTAAATAAACATGAGAATTCAGACTATGCTCACATGCAAGGGAATGGTTAAAAAAAATGTAAGGAATTCCCCGAACCCAGGTGGAGAGAAATTTTCATGGCCCTCAGGGGAAGATCACATTGCACATCACATATCCACAGGAAGGTCATCCTGCGCTGGTGCATGGTCCCGGCTAGATTGGCACACATCTTTCCTGGGTGCTCACCACTCTGTTGGAGATGTGAAAGACAGGGGGGTCTATGATCCACATATGGTGGACATGCCAATGCCTGGTGGGAATGTGGAAAGAGGTCTAATCTCTCATAAATAAAGTAATAGGGATTACGATACCCTTAAAACTTAAAACCATGTTACTTCTGCTTTTGCCGGATCATATGGAATGGGAACATAAAGTGGTAGCAACGCACATCATACTAGCTACGTTATCCCTTATAGCATTAAAGTGGAAAAAAAACAGCTCGTCCTCACTAGTGGAAATCACAGTGGTAATTTCCAGAAATAAACAAAATAAAATTACCTATATGATCACATATGCCCAAAGAGAAAAAACAATATCAAACTGGCAAACAACCGATGGGGGGGAAAGGGTTGACAGGGGAACCTGGGGGGGAAGTGGTCACAAAAGGGGTCACACCGGGAACAATGCGGGTTCGCACGATGCAGAGTAAACTTGTTGTGTTGCTTTTAATTTTGTTATTTTTGTTAAACAAATTGGCTCACCAAGATGTCTATGAACATATGTACCGTAATGTATGATCTGTGTTCTGTACTGGGTTGTACCTTTCCGATGTATCATGTTAAACTGATATATTGAGAAAGAATGGAAAGTACCTTTGTTGTTTGCCAAAAAAAAAGAAATCAGTTCTGTGACTGTGAGGTATTAATGTCTTGTTGGGGACCCAGTTTAGGGAACTTACTGCACTATATACAAGGCCAATTCCACCTTGTATAAACAAGAATACATTAGATGTAGCATGAAAAGCCTGGTTCATTTTTTTATCATTGATCTTTCCAGTACAGTTAAATGTCTAACGGAAGCAAAAGGTAGACTACTTAGATGTAATTGTGCAAGTATATTATTGCATATACAGCTAGTTTTCTTCTGTCCGCATTCATCACCACTTGGTAGCGATTCAGTCTGTAGGGATGCATAGTCCATTTTCTTTTTGTAGATATTTATCTTGGTAAATAATTAGACCCTCACATTTTTCACATTGCTAAATTAATATATAACTATAATGTTAAAAAAAGATTTGAAAACACTCTAATGCAATACACAGCATAATTCATGATGACATTTGTTCCTAAAATGTGCTTCTTGTGCTTTCTCATCATGGAGATAATTGAAAAATAACTAAAATAGGCTAAAACTAAAATAACGTACCCTCAAGTTTGGTGGGACATCTTAATTTTTTTTTTCTTACTCTTATGGTTATATTATTACACACTAGAAAAGCTTCAATTTCTGGGGAAATTGTGTAAAGTGTTCTTGCCTCCACCAGTAGTCTACAACTGGAGTGGGCGGAGTAACTATTATTTATTTATATAGCACATTTAATTGCAACATTGTTGCCCAAAGTGATTCCCAGTTACATTAAAACATACATTAATAAAAACCTTAGCAGGTGTACAAAAGGAGTAGTATTTATACTTTTATTTCCTGTCCTAAACAGCAAAGTGGGCGGAACTAACCCTATTGTGATGCTACCATGTCTATATCCAGGAAAAAAAATTACGGTAAGTATTTTGGTCTATGACATCACTTGCTGCTCCAGCCTGGCACAGGTCAGAGTATTTTGGCGGTTGTCATCTTCAAACTGCCATATTTTAAAATCTATAAATCCTACAGTGAAGAGCTTCATTTCATGAGAATCACGAGACCCAGACCTACATTTTGATGCATATGTCTCTGACATATTAACAATGAAGGCACAGTCACAGTTTAGAAATTGCCCTTCAAATTTGAGCTGGCTAGAGTGAAGTTTCAATGAATGTCAATGGACGGCATTAGTTGCAAACAAATGGTTATATTGTGAACACTATCAGGACTATGGCTTAGCCATTGGCTTTGTGCAGGTGAGCTTGAAAATCAGGGAGTGGTGGCAGTTTAGAAATCATGTCCTGATTTTTCAGCTTTTGCCAGCTCCCACTCTAGTTTTGAACATTTTGCCATTCATTCCTCTGGGGCCAATTTCGCCACAAGAACGACGATATTCCGTGAACCATTCAGTGAAACGTTCCACAAAGTAATAGCAATCCAATCGGGAGCAATCTGCACGTTTCGTTATATTACTGTCTATGTAGTGTAAAAACTGTGGGAGGAGTTAGGGTGATAAATTTGGCTATAATAAGAATAAGAATAATATATATGTGAGATAACATTAAGTGGTCTTGCTGTGCAAGAACACTTAATATATATGTGAGATAACATTAAGTGGTCTTGCTTTGCAAGAACACTTAATTACTAAAGCTGTTAAAACTTAGAAGAAGTTGCAGTTTGTGTGACGAAACACGTAGGACAGATGGACACTTGAAATTGATGATACATTTTATTTTATTAACAGGAAGAGGGTTTCTTTGATGTGCTACACTATTGTGTGTTATTTATGTTCCTTTAGGACTAACTAATTCTATTTCTGCTTTTATGTAAACTCAGGTTTTGCCTTGTTCACAACTATATGTTTTTCAAAATGCCTCATGTTATATGATCAGTGAGCTCGTGTTTCCTGATAATATTTATTTATTATATTGGATCTTTTTTTTTCCATACGGTTCTACCCACATCAAAAAAATGAAATGATTTTCATGCCATAGTTTATAAAGTTCAACAGCTGTGGAATAACTTCTCAAAAACAATCAAGTCTTCCAGTAACTTAAAACCTTAGTATCTTAACAACAACTAATTCTGTTTATTTTAATTATATTCGTTTTCAATATTTGACTTTAGTTCTTTCAATGTTGTATTGTTCTTGTTTCCCAGGCTATACTGTAATATAAAAGAAATCTAGTGTATTCTTCCTGGTTAAACACTTTTTAAATAAATAATGAAGAGATAATCTTCTTTAGTTTGTTCAACTCTATTGAAAGATGCATGGCAACCACAAGCATGCATGATATACCCAAACAAAATGGTTTAATTCATGTAAAATAGATGAAAATTCTTTCATAATTCAATAGATGCCACTTAACCTAGTGAAATTTATTTTTTACTGAATGAAGCATCTGCATTATCATTTTTGTATTACATGATTTTTTATGTTTGGGTTAGTATTGATGTAAGTCTTGGATAGTCTAGTAGTTAATCGTTAGTGTTAGGGTATTGTAGGGATTAATGTTTAGTATTAGCATTATGAAAGGGTTATTGTATAATGTAGTAGTTAATGTGTAACCTTAGTGTAGTGTGTTACAGTAATGTAGGGATTAATGTATATATCTCAGTGCTGCCTGAGATTAGTCCAAAAGACATTAATCTTAGACAGTTGAGTTTAGGGCTCCCGATAAAAAAATTAAAAATCAAAAACAAATTAAATTAAAGCATGGAAAAATCCAACCTCCAAGTGTGACAGTGGAACACTTCACAATTGAATACATTATTCCCATCTGTGTAGGGTATGTATACAACATAAAAAGAGAAGAAAAAAACAAAAACAAATAAACAATAGCATGATACTTCATAGACTCTGTGCACATATTGTGGGTTAACCCACTCACATTTGGTGGAGCCTGATACAATGTGCTGATTTTTTGGGCCTCTATGCTTAAAGATTACAAACTAATAATAGCTAATAACTAATTTAAATATATTGTTTTTTTTAAAAGTGTTAGTTCCAAATGCATGTATGGTCCTTCAGAATGCATAAAACATATAAAACAAATCAAAACAAATTACATCATGTATAAAACATATACATTAAGGTAAATTTAACCAAAATACTTACCGTAATTTTTTTTCCTGGATATAGACATGGCAGCATCACAATAGGGTTAGTTCCGCCCACTTTGCTGTTTAGGACAGGAAATAAAAGTATAAATACTCCTCCTACCAGACCGGATCTCCAGTCTAGTTCCAAGCTCCTAAAAAAAAAATATACAGAAGGGAGGGATGCAATGCTGCCATGGATATATCCAGGAAAAGAAAATTACGGTAAGTATGGTGAAATTTTCCTTATTCCTGGCTAATCCATGGCAGCATCACAATAGGGTAATACCCAAGCTCAACATCTGATGGGAGGGAAATAAACAAGCACCCACCAATATTTGTAAAATCAGTTAAGAACAAGCAAACTCTGGACTGCAGAGTTTATGGGAAACTTCCCAAAATGTAAAATAAGGCCACTTTCTTGGAGTATCCAAATTGTGAAATCTGTGAATAGAGA